TAAGAAAAAAAACAACCCCATCAAAAATTGGGCAAAGGATATGAACAAGCACTTTTCAAAAGAAGACATTTATGTGACCAACAAACATATGAAAAAATGCTCAGCATCACTGGTCATTAGAGAAATGCAAATCAAACCACATTGAGCTACCATCTCACACCAGCAAGAATGGTGATCATTAAAAAATCTGGAGACAACAGATGTTGGAGAGGATGTGGAGAATAGGGGCACTTTTACACTGTTGGTGGGAGTGTAAATTAGTGCAACCAGTGTGGATGACAGTGTGATGATTCTTCAAGGATCTAGAACTACAAATACCATTTGATCCAGTAATCCCATTACTGGGTATATATCCAAAGGATTATAAATGGTTCTGTTATAAAGACACATGCACATGTATGTTCACTGCGGCACCATTTACAACAGCAAAGACTTGGAACCAACCCAAATGCCCATTAACTATAGACTAGATAAAGAAAATGTGGCACATATTCACCATAGAATACTATGCAGCCATAAAAAAGGATGAGTTCATTTCCTTTGCAAGGACATGGATGAATCTGGAAACCATCATTCTCAGCAAACTGACACAAGAACAGAAAATCAAATACCACATATTCTCACTCATAAGTGGGTGTTGAACAATGAGAACACATGGACACAGGCAGGGGAACAACATACATTGGGATATGTTGGGAGGTGGGGGGCTAGGGGAGGGATAGCATGGAGTGGAAAGGTTGGGGAGGGATAACATTAGGAGAAATACCTAATGTAGGTGAACCAGGAATGGAGGCAGCAAACCACCATGGCATGTGTAAAGCTATGTAATAATCCTGCAAGATCTGCACATCTTAAAGTGTAATTTAAAAAAAGAAGAAAAAAAAATTAAAAGTCCAGATCTTAAAGTATAATTTAAAAAAAAGAAGAAAAATATTTTTGAGTCCAAAAAAAGAAATTTTGAGAAGGGCTATCTAGAATGGAGAAGAACCAATACAAAAGTACAAAGAACATAAAAGAGAAAAGAGTTTCAATAAAAACATAAGCCACAATATGTAAAAGTGAATTAAGAACCAAAATATGCTCATTGGATGCATTACTTAGGAATTCTGTCTATCATCTATTAGATATTTTGAATTTTTGGGTTATATCAGAATAGCTAAGGGACATGTGAATTGAAAAAAATATTTTATTTAAACACATCAATAAAGGAACCTCTAGTTTCCACTTAGAAATAATAATTAATATGGAGTACAATTCATATCATGAAAGAAGAGTCATGATTGACTCCCTTATTGTGACGTTTTTCTTTTATATATTTATATCACCTGATATAAAATATTATGTATTTGTCATCTACCTCCTGACAGTGGATGTAAGCTCATTAAAGGAGGCACTTTATTTCATTACTACTGCATTGTCAGTGTCTAGGACAGGAGGTGGACAAATATAGCCCACCTCTTGATATTATAAATAAAGTTTTATAGGAATACAGCCATGCCTGTTTATATTACTTATGACTGTTTGGCAGAGCTGAATTATTATGACAGAGACCATATGGCCCACAGGCCTAAAATGTTTATTATCTGGCCAGTTGCAGCAAAAACATTTGCCATCTCCTGGTCTAGAACAATACTTGTCTATAATGAGTGCTCAATAAATATAATTGATAAATGAGAGAATTAATAAAGGCATTGTTCTTAATCATTGAACATATGTTGACAAAATTACTTAATCTTTCTAAGCTTTGTTTCCTCACTTATGAGAATGAGATATAATAGTATATCTTAAAGGACAGAAGTGAGCATTACATGAGATATACATAATTAGCAAATGGTAAAATTATAAAAAACAAAAATACTTGTTCCCTTCCCTGTCATCCCTTAAAATGCTATCTGTGAAGGTAATTTCACATCCTGCTGACTGGCAACTTGTGTGTCAGGACTTGCTTCTTATCACTCTGCTTGGAGTCCCTCTGGTCAGCAATATGAAGACAATGTAACGATATTGATCCACCCAAATAAGATGTTCTTCTGTCCCTAGCAGTTGTGAGACTTAGACTGCTCTATCATGACAAAAGTGATAGAGTCTAAGCGAAGTCACAGGCCCCCAACTTCCAAGTCATCCCATCCCTTTAAAGTCATTATTTCCTCATTGGCATCATGTTGCTTGTGACAGAAAGAGAAGTAGGTAATAAAAAGAGACATTTGGGATTGATAAAAACTCTGGCAATGATTTTCCAGGGCACAGACTTTCCCCTCTCTAATTGTTTCAGGGGGTCCTTCAATATTCATGGCACTCTCTGCAATGCAGTACACTGTTCAATGCAGTTCTCAAGACCATTCAGTCTCTTATTTTTTTTTTTAACTTTTGCTAGTTTTATTTTTTTAATGGCTGTTGGACATCCAATTATAAAGGTTATTTTTGATGTCACTTAGCTTTCAAAAAGTGCTAGAAATAAAAGCTATTAAAAGCTTTTGTTCTTAGACACACACACTCAACCAAGAGAGATATTTTCAATTTCATTTTAAAAAGGGACTTGAACATTAAAATTGAAGCCATTGAAATTGGCAGGTACTAAGTAAATGAAAGGAGACAATATAAATATTTCAATTTTCAAAAGGATTTTAATAGCTAAAAGTTTAGAAAAGACAGTATAAAAACAGGAAGATGTTAGAAAAATAACATTGCTATTAAATATATGCTTCCGGCTCTTTGTCATTTAGGTCCCAAATGTCCGTATTGTTTGAGGCAACCTGAAGTTACATCACAAATTTCACAATTCCTATATTCTGTGGATATCAAGACATTTCCATACTTGAGTAAATAATTATGTAGTGAGATTCTATGTTTTGTGACACACTTACCTACTAGATGTTAGGCAATACAAAAGTGGCTGGAAAGACCACAATATCACTTCAAACAAAGCTTATTATATTTCCTGAGAATAGCATTAGAAATATTTTCAAAGGATGACTTTCGTCCAGCTAATGATAAACACACTTTAATCATATTTAAATGAGACGTAAATAGAAGAATGGCTTGCCAATATGTTTTAAAGATAATTTATTTTATCCTTTTGCGTTTCAAGATAAACTGTTTTACCATTTGAAATTTGTAATTTAAAATATTCAATGTAACTTTGGTCATTCTCTTGTTTTTAAATGGTGAGACAAGATTGTCTTCAGGATGCTATTTGCAAACATTTTTCTCCAAATAAAATATTTAGGGTGTGTATAGATCTTGCTCATAATAAATGAAAAGATAAATTGTCCATAAATGTGCTTATTTTTCTCATTAACAGTGACTTTGAAGTGTTAGAGACATCTTGGTAGGTTACACAGTTTTGATCAAATGACCATAATTTACAAACCTAGTAAATGCTAGATTACTGTGAAATTGCAGAACTATTTTCACTTTTGTGATCATCATTATCTGATTTTTAATTTGTTTACATAATAGAGATGTTACCAGTCTCTTCAGTCAGACTACCTTGTTTCAAATTTTACATCTGCCCTACCTTGAAAAATAATCTAACCTCTTCAAAGTAAAATTTTTTAAATATTTAAAGTGAGTATAATAGCACCACATAGCTCTGCGAATTGTGAAAATATTGTGAATTAGTTCATGTAGAATAAGCAGGGCATTTTAATACTTATTTACCATTTCTTGATAGTATTGTGGAAAAATCACTGAGCACCACCTAATGAGAAGTTGGTATAATTTCCACTTTTAAGACTTTTCACTGCATAAATCAGTAAACTTACCAGCATCTAAGTTTTTTATTTTTAATATTGAAAATATCTACAAAAGAGGTTATGCACAAAGATTAAACTGTATGATTAATATGAATTAGCTTCCTTATTGGCCCACTGTAGTCAGTGAATAAACGTATAATGTTTAAACAACGGATTTAAACATGTAGTAAGTTCATGTCTAAAAAATACAGTCAAATTCTTGGGGAAATATAAAACAAACACACTTAAAAAGCAAACGGCAAAGTAGAGATAAGTTTTGCTAAAAATATAGTAGACAGGTTTATAATTCTTTTACAAAGAGCTCTAAGAAATTATTGAAAACTCCACTGAGATTGCAATAGAAAAATAGGCAAAGAAGCCAAGAAGGTAATTGTTTGAAGAGGAAAAATCAAATGGCAAATAAATATACACACAAATTAACCTCATTATCTAAGAAGTTTTGGGGGAATTATTTTTGTCACTTGTTACACAATGCTTTCTATGCTGTGGTGGCTCTCTTATATAGTTCTGATGGAATCTCCAATTAGTATAACCTGATGAGATCTTTCTGCGTTGTAACCTCTACAGAGAGAAGGCTGGCAACACGTGACCAGATAAAAAATGTCTACAGCCTTGGGGCTGCAAAACCATGCAATGGAAATAACCAGATATGCTGAGTAACTGTCATTAATGAAGTTGTTCATGCATTCATTTTTAACAGGAAAAAAGAAAACTCAGTGTCCTACAAGAGGGAATTGATTTTAAAAATAAAATTTAGTGAAAGAAAATGCTTATATAATAATGTAATGTGAAAACAGCAATCTGAGTTCAGTTTTGTATGTATATGTGATTGACTACCTAACTAGTTTATTATTGAGCAGGAGCTCTAGGGGATCAATCGAAAAGAGCTTTCCTTTTCCTCAGTACTATATTCAATCTGCTATGTCAGCTCTCCCTTCCACACCAATGAACAGTGTCTTAGGCATGTCACACAGCTCAAGCAATTCTTATTTTCAGGAATTGAAAAGTCCAGTTCCCAATGGCAGAGTTAGGAAAAACATTATAATGCCTTTTGCTCCTACGAAATTCATTCAATAAATTTTATTCTCTTTTTAAAATTTTAATAAAATTTTAGCTATTTTGTATGTAGTTTGGATGTATGTAATCGATGGGTTAGCTAGGGATCCTGGAATGATTTTGGATAACTCTCAGCAAGCTTGGAGGTGATACATAAAACACTTCTAAGAATATGCCAGGTTTTCTCACCTATTGTCTTGAGCTGTGGTGATGAATCCAGCTCCTCTCTTTAGAATATGTGGGCACTTCTCACCTATGGCACTTACCTTTGGACATTTTTTAAAAGCCTAAAAAGAGAAAAATTTGCTTTCTAATATTCTTTTAATTTTAGAGTTCATATGATTTCTGTTGTCTTCTTTTTTTTTTTTTTTTTGAGACGGAGTTTCGCTCTTGTTGCCCAGGCTGGAGTGCAATGGCGCGATCTCGGCTCACCGCAACCTCCGCCTCC